TTTAAAACTTCGAAAACCTTTTAAAATTAGGGAAATATGGGTTCCTAAGGGAACAAGAGGCATTAGCACTAACAATCAAGGATCCAAAGCAATTTGGATACCAAAATCCAAATAAATGTCTCTTGTAGGTGAGTGGGAGCAATCGTGACAAAAGTGAAGAAATTTAAATGCTCCAATCACACATGACGAGGAATGGGTAACCTCTATGCTTTTTTTAATTGGTTGCTTATTTGTTCTATTAATGCATGAGATTTTGAACATAAATGATCATATGTTGTTTTTCAATTTCATGTATGTTAAAATATGTTATGGTGAACATTTTAAAGTTTTAATGATTTTTTAGAACATTTTAAATTTTTAATGATTTTTTATAAATTTTTGTTCTTCATAATAATTTTTGGTCAATTATTTTTAATGTTTTTACAAACTTTTATTTTTGACCTTAAACCTAAATGTTTATGCATACACTTTTTATTGCAAATGATATCTCTCTAACAATTGATATCAATTTTTCAAATACATAACATTTTTAGAAAGCTTTATGTATTATAACTTTAATGTCTCATGCTAATATTGCATAAAGTATAATAGACTTGGATTTATTGAGTTTCATGTATTACTAACATGTTTGTTCACATTTGTTGAAATTCAATAGTTTTTAAGTCTCAAGTTTTTAAAGTAATTTTTTTCTTTGGAATGTTTTTATTGGGGGAGCTTTGATTTTTCAAAAGACTTTATGTTAAAAAATTTTACTTACTCTCCATTGTAATTTTGAACCTCAATGTTTGAATTATTTTTGATATAACAAAAAGGATGAGAAGTATAAATTTGAAATATTCAATTTCAAAAATGAAAAAGGGTGAGCTTTAATGTTTTCCAAAATATCTCTCTTTTTCATTAAATGTTCTATTAAGGGGGAGTTATGTCAAAAGCTTTTTCAAATGTTTTATTTTATATCAAAAAGGTGAGATTGTTAAACCTATTTTGATATTACAAACTTAAGGGTAAAATGTTTTTGGACTTGATTGAATTTATTAAAACCTTTCGAAAATAATTTAAAGTCCATAAAACTTGAATTTGAACACAAAACTGATTTTCTTGGTAAGTGTCGACAGTCATTTTTGTCTGAGTTTACATATTATTAGTACATTATTATTATTACTATTATTACTTTTATTTATTATTACTATTATTATTCTTATTAAATTATTACAAGCCTAAATAAATGAATTGGGCCCAGTTACAAAGCAAAATCCAAAGGCTCGATTACAAGTTTGGAGGCCCTATTGATTTACAAGTTAGGAGGCCCAATTGATTTACAAGAACCCGGAGACTCAATTGATTTACAAGGACCCGGAGGCCCAAACCCAAAGAGAAGTCCAGCAAATCCAGATATGGCCCAGACGACCTGGAAGGATCCGAACCCTTCTAGGGTGTTCATCTCAACTCTTCAGCTGCCTACAAACCTCAACTGTTAGATCTGGATAAAGATCAACGGCCCATATTGATCCAGCAGAAACCCTAGGGTATCATTACCACCCTAGGGTTATTCCAGTCGTCGCCTCCAAGTGCTCCACTCTGACGCTACCACCGCCTCACCAGAAGACTCCAGAAGATGAAAGATAGACACACACTTCATCAACCCTAGGGTGAGTCACCACCGTAGATCCAGTGACTCACCGGGTTTCATTATTGTGACCGGTCCAAGAGATGTACTCCGAGGCCTATAAAAAGCCTCGACTTACCTGCAAAAAAGGACAATAACGAGAGACAAAGACGGAGAAACGAAACGGGAGACAAAGACAGATACAGAGAGAGAGACGACAGCCATACAAACACAGCAAGCAAAGATCCACAACAACCAACACAAACAACGAAAACAAAAAGAAAAGAAAAGAAGAAGAGCCTTACCCTTGAAGCCTCACTCGTCATCAGAAGCTATAAACGTTATTGGAGAAAATATTTTTCGAAGGTAAAATATGTAGATCTACTTCGATATGATAGTTTTCGATTGAAAACAAGGTCGGATTAGTGTTTGTGGGGTTGAGATGAGTATTCGAATAGTTTTTTATGTTTTCTGGTGACTGACGATGACTGTCAGCGTTGGCAGACGGTGGCCGACCGGTGATTTTATACCCTCCCCGAAACTACGCTATTTAAGGGAGGGACATCTGCATAATTTTTTGCATAGTAAATTACACGTGGTCCCTATACTTTGTAAGTCTTACTATTTAGTCATTGAAATCATGTTTCTATGCATTTCAATTTGGCATTAACATTTTATTTTATTTCTTTTTAGTCTCTGCCATGTTTATATATATTTTAGGTAAAATAGCTTATTTAGTCTCTTATATTTTAATCCTGATTATTATTTAAGGTCTTAATTACACAGTTAGTACCTATATTTCATAATATTTCGAATTGTGTCCACTAACTTTGATATTTTACAATTTAATTCCTATAATTTTAATATTTTATATATGTATTCGGGTTATATTATTTTATACAATGAATCATAAAAATATTTCCTTAACTTATTAGGAATGTATTTTAAATGATTGTTGGTACAAAATAATATCCCTGATGTTTATTACAGGGATCATAAATTAAATTAAACTCAGATTTATAAATTTTTACTGCAAAGACAATTAATTAATAAACAAAGGTACCAATTTTGGGCGTTGTGGGGGTGTTAATCCTTCCCCACATATAATCGACTCCCGAACTCATTTTCTGGTAAGTAGACCCTTTTTGTGTTGTTTTAATAATATTTTTATCAAATTTTATTAAAATAACATATCATTTTTAGTGACCAATCACACCTCGATAAATGATTGGTGGCGACTCCTCATAATTGTGTTTTATCTTACGTAAGAAGATAAACACCTACTTTTTCAAGACGAGATTTAGAAAATAACGACACTTGTTTTCGCGAGAAAATATCGTCACCACATAAACAGTATCGATATTGTTCTTGCAGTATCGATACCGGAGGTAAGAGAAGTATCAATACTCTCATGGCAGTACCGATATTGCCTATTGTTTTTTAAACGTGTTCAAATTATAGTAGGAAAAATTGGTACCGGTACTCAAAGGAGTATCGATACTACTGTATAGTAGTATGGATACCGTAAACCCTATTATCTATACTCCAACCAATGGTCAAAAAATGGCTAGTTTTTATTAGTGCAATACTAATACTCCCAGCCCGAGTACCGATACTCTCTAGTCTGGGCAATTTTATTTTGCAACAGTTAAGTCCCCAACGGCTACAAAACATCCACAACGGCTATAAACAATCACAAACACATTGCAACGTATAAAAAGAAGTTGAAGACACTTGAAGAAGGTTACAACACCTATCCAAGCAATCCACATCAAGAGAAAAGCTCTTTCAATCTTATTTTTCCTTTTCTCTTGTACATAAAGTGTTTTAGTGAGCTTAATTGTGTAAACACTACCTTGTGAGGGTTTCTTGTTTACAATCTTTTTATCTTTTTGTAAAAGGTGTTTTGGTTCTATTTTATCCATTGAAAAGATAGAGATTTGTAAATGTTACTCTTGAGCTTAGAAAAGAAAGAACAAATTAGTGAATTTGTTAGAAATCCTTAGTGTAGAGCTAAGGTAGTGGATGTAGACTTAGTTTAGAAGTCAAACCACTATAAATTGTTATGCAAATTTTCTATCCTTTCTCTTCATAATCCCTAAAATTTTTGAAAGGCCAATTAATCTCCTCTTGATACATTTTCAGTTGATTGATAGAGCTACGAAAATTCTAACGTCCAAAGTTATGAGAGAGTTTGGATAGTTGATTTCCAAGTGATCCGATGCAAATAAGCATGATTATTGATGGTCTTATCAAATTTATCAAATCTTTAGATGAATATTTGTTGATTTTTTAATCTTTTGCTAATTTATTACAAATTGTTACCATAAAAATTTACGTGGTCCCCTATTTAAGTTAATTCCCAATTGATGTAACGGTCTTTTGGGCTCATTCCAACTAAAAAAAATGATAAATTTCAAAAAATTTATCACTCAATTTTTTTTTCAGTTTTGCACGAATCAACTTATCTCAGTGGTTAAAGGAATCGTTGTTATTCCTAGAAGTAATGGTTCGAGTACCAGCGACTGCAACAGGCTTAATGAGTGTTCATTGTCAAATGATTAAGAGTATTTAGAACATGTACTACTTTGTAATCACCTTACTTAATAAAAAACTTTATTTTCACTTTTATATTGATCATTAAAATTTAAAATATTTTAATTTACTTATTAAATTTTTTATTCACTCTTATTTTGGTGACTATGTCGTTAAAATTAACACTATTTTTTTTAAATTATAAAATTGTCTTAGAATTTTTTTCCCTTTTTGTGAAAAAAATTTAGTTTCAAATTTTCTTTGATTTCTCGGTCACGAAACATTTTCTTTCAAATGCCAATAGTTGGAAGGCGGTGGAAAAAGTAAATTGTATATTTTGATTCCATGTTGATCGAATGATGGATATTATAGAACATGATTGTTCAAGATTTTATGAATTTTAAAGTGATTTAGGTATAATCTAAACTAATAAATTGGTAGGAGACAATGAGTTGAATTCGTCGATATCTTGAAAGGTCGAAGAAGACATCAGAGAATGATAATTGTAGCATCAACGTGACACAAAGATGAAATTGTAAAAACTTTCACATTTGAAGGGAAAAAATAAAAAAAATAACATGGATGACACATAAATTTTACCATATGATTTAAGAACACGTGACAAATATGTCAACCTCTCATTTATGATTTAAGAACTAAGTAATCAAAATAAAAAAAAAATTTGTGCAAATTGAAATTTCCTACATTTTAATGACCCAAAATAAAAGTGAGAAAACTAACTAATGAAATTTATAATTTACCCTTGAAAAAATGATGAACCAAAACCACTAACCTACCCTTTGCATTTAATGCAGTCCAACTGTTAGAGCAAAACCAACTAACCATCTACATTTCAATGGAGTTATCACAACCTTAATTGGAAGGCACTAGCTGAAGCTACCCACCCTTGTTTCCAATCATTCGGCTTTTCCAAGATCCCCAAAGTAAAAGCATTGGGAATGGCCTCAGGCTTATCTACCAGGTTTTCTTACCAGAGACTGAAGCATGAAGAAGGAGCCCATGATGAGCATGAAGCCGATTGGTTTCCAGGGAGATCAAGGCCATGGCCGAGGCTCAGAAGCGTATCAGTTAAGATCAAGAGATTCAGAGTTAAGGTTCCAAGCCTGAGGAGGTATTTGAGGAGGAAACTGAGGGTTGCTAGGGTTTCGTTTGGGAAGCTGGTGAAGAGGTTGAAGGAGAGTCAAGCTCATTTCGGTGATCTTTTCGCTGGGAATTACATGTTCATTCAAGTGAACCCATCAACCATGAAAGGTTGCTTAGGGAAACCTTGTGAGGGGTTTGCTCTAACAACCTTGCCTCCTTCTAGGTATTCCCTCTCTGGAGTTGCTTGATGTTTTAGGGTTTGATCTGTGTTACTATTTAAGATTCAAGTATACACAAAGGGATTTGTGGGAAAAATATGAAATTTTTTTATGTTAATTTCATTAGTATAAATTAAAATATTATTTGGCATGGTTCATTCATGATCCAAATGTAATTATTAATTTTGCATGTTATATTTGGATTCAGAATTGTTTTAATTTCAAATTAAAAATGATAAGATGTTTTTATTAGTGGCAAATCTTGATGATGAAATAGTTTGAAGACTTAATTGAATATTTTTGAAGATTTAATTAAAATTTTAATAAGTTAAGCGATTCAATTAAAAATATTTAAAAATTTTAAGTTTTTCTGGTAACTTTTAACAATTTTGGAAGGACTCATGTAAAATTTACAAAAAGTTAAAAATTGTAATGCAAAGTTCTCTAACCCTTGTACCCATCCGCCCTTAATTCCAATAAGTTAGAAAACCCGGTGTCGGTAGTATGGAATGAGAATTGTGTATGATTTTGTGTTATAAACAGAAAAAGGAAATAACATTTAATCTATAATTTTGATATTTTTTTCTTAATTCTATCCTTTGAAATTTTAGGTGAATTTGTGTAATATATTCCAAATCAAATTAAAATTGTCAATTACAAGAATAGTATGTTAAATATACCCTCTTCTTCTTAATTTAATCCCTATGTACTTACCACTGATCAGCTGAAATCTTCCCTAAAAGTCTAAGTTTAACACATTCCCGAATCTGCTAAATTACCTCTTCATCCTATTTAAAATGTCTACAGTTTCTCTTACAATCTGAAATATTGATCATTAATTAAACATTTTTTATTCACATTAGTTTAGGAAATTGACCAAAGAATTTTAACTTGGTCCGTAAATTTGGATTTCATTAAGGATCAATCTAAGTTTAGAGACAAGTTTAACAAATTGTCAAGTTTTGAGACTTACGTCGGCTAAGGAGATAAATTTGAGAATAATTATCAGATTCAATGATCGAAAAGATTTAGGGATTAAATTATTATTTTTTATTATTAAAAGTTATAAAATGATCATTCGAATATTCATATCTTACAAACTCATTATTTTCTGTTAAAAAATTGACAGAATTCTAAGTTGAACGTTAATCTACTTATTAGGATTTTAGAACTGTGTCAACTATATAGTCGTTTAGATTCTATTATCATATTTTATCATATCCTAATAAACAGGTTAGCGTCCAGCTCAGACTTTTACAGTTTTTTTTAATGAAAATGACAAGTTTAGAACATATAAATAGTCAAATGATCATTTTGTAACTTTTAATTATCGAATGACTTAACAAAACAACACACTATAATTAAAAGATCATTTTATAATTTTTAATAGTTGAGAAACTCAACAAAACAATATCGTATAACCGATTACCATTTGTATACTTTATCCATAAACCAAAGCATACAAGTTGCCGGTTGGAGTATGGACGTGAGAGGGAAGCAGCAAAAGAATGAATGAATCCTGCGACAAGTCGGGTTGGAAGATGGGAAATTGAAGTTCGAAAAGTCAATTCATGAAATGTATAATACGTGTCATTTATTTGTGCCACTTGGCAACTCATGTGGTCTTCAAGATAAAATCAGTTAAAGTAGAGACGGTAACCGGGTCATTCGGATCGAGTTTGAGTCGAGTTGTTTCAGATCGAGTTATTTCGGGTTAAGATTGCATTTGGTTTGGATTTGGTTTGATTCGGGTCATATCGAGTTCGATTATAGTTTGGGTCAATGGAAATTCAGTTCGGGTCGGTCAAATCAGGTCGGTTGATTTTCTAGTTGGGTTAATCTCGGATCGGTTGGTTCTCTAGTCGGGTCAATATCGGATCAGTTGGTTTCGGTTCGGCCCAAGCTTTAGATTTTCGGGTCAATTTTGGTTGGTTTCGGTTCAGATCAACCTTTAGATTTTCAAGTCAATTCAGGTTGATTTTGGTTCAGATCAACCTTTAGATTTTTAGTTCAATTCAGTCAACTTTGGTTGTTTCGTTTAGGTCAACCGTCTTCACTCTTTGTCGTTTTAATCATCGGTTTTGCTCTTATAACTTGTAATTTAGAAAATTTATGTGACTATATATTGTCACATCATAAATTCGGGACTAAAAGTTTTAGTTTAAATGAATTAAATCAAATTAGAATATTTGGAAGTATAAAATTAACTTTATAAATCATAATAAATTTTAAGATTGATTGTAGTATTAACCCTCAACAATTTTTTGCTTTTGTTATAACCGATTATCATTTATCATATTTAAAAAATACATAATATATATATATTTACTTATTTCAATTTAATTTTTTATATTATTTTGGAATGATTTAGAAGTTATTGGATATTGAGATGGTCATTTAACACAATAAAAGTTATATTGAAATATTAAACTATTACTAAATGTGGTAATTAACTAATTATACAATATAAAATGAGAATAAAAAATATATCATTCTACTATTTATCTAATTAGTAAAAATAGATAATAATAATAATAATAATAATTAATAATAAAGAAATAAATTATTTGTTCACTTAGACTCAATTATCGGGTTAAAATCGGATTAAAGTTCAGTTCAGAACGGGTTAGATTTTTTGGTTCGGATTGATTTCGGTTTGGTTACTTTCGTTTCGGGTTGTTTTCGGTTTGGATTGTTTTCGGTTCGGGTTGATTTCGGTTAAAATATAATTCGGGTCGTTTTGGTTCGAATCGATTTGTTTCGAGTTTCAGATCAATTTTAGATTATCATGGCTCTATATTGGGTCTCGGTTCGGGAGGTACGAGCCAAATTTGTTAGGTAAAAATCAAAGCATGTGTCCATGTAACAGAGATCCATGTTCCAACCTCATCAGGGTATGCTTGATAAACTGAAAACAATTTCTTAAAAATGAATTCTAAAAAATAAAATACATTTTCTAGAAACAAATTCCAGAAATCATTATGTGGTGTTTGGATAATATTGTGTAAATTATTTTCCACTTGTTTGTTAAGTTTTCCCGAAAATAATTTCCTAAAGTGTTCCTTAAGTCTTATGATGATCCATGAACTTTGAAATGTATTCAAATTGACCTAAAACATGTTTTTCTTAATTAAAGTGTTCCATAAGTCCTATGATGATCCATGAAATCATGTACATGATTTTGTAATTAAACATTGATTTTAAGTCGTATTTACTTTAGATTTGTTTTGTCACTCTTTAATAACACTAATTATATAATATAACCTTCAATTTGATGTTTTCTGTTGTATCCCGAGTTTTAAAGTATTTACATTTCAGTCTCTCTTTTTTTGTAATAAAAGAAAAAATCTGCCTAAACTAATGACTTAAAATGTCCTGCATCCAGCAATTGTTTCAGTTCTTCAGGTAGTGATTGAACCATGCATATTCGTTCATCTCCATTTCGTGCTAACTTTATTATTTCATCCGCTATCTTGTTACCTTCCCGGTGTACATGAGTAAATCGAATCTCCCAGCTTCTTTGAATCATCTCTTTGATATGGTATCTCATCGTTAGTTCAACCTCCATTCGAGTCTTCTTTTTCATGATTTGCCATGCGTCTTTATTATCCGTTTCGACTATTAGTTCTTCCACTCCCAACTCCCATGCACTCTTAAGCCCTTCTAGGAATTCCCATAACTCTGCTTCTAGGACTGAACATGATCCAATTACCTTATGGAATCCCATCCTCCATTGACCTTTATCGTTTCTCAAAACTCCCCCGCATGCAGCGAGCCCGCTTATGCCGTCTCTTATGGCATCCGTATTCATTCTCATCTATCCTTTAGGGGGTATAGCTTCCAACAAGTTTCTTTGCGTGTTAATATTCCTCTTTCATGTCGTTCCTTCTTTTCCTCGTTCACTGCTCAGATTGATTCTGCAACTAGTCGTCAGATGCGTTCTAGCACCGTTTCCCTTTCAACGTTCTCTGGTTCGAAAATATGTTTGTTTCTTTGATTCCAGAGGTTCCAAACGATAGTCCCAAATAGGACATTCCAGTGTTCTCCTTCCTTTTCAGATATCCCCGATTTGGTAAGATTTAAAATCAGTCAATCCTTCAAACTTAGGGTAAAGAATTCCATCTTCTTCTATCTTCTAATGAGTGATAACCATAACGAACTCGTAGATGGGCAGTGTCGTACTATGTGGTCTACGTCTTCCCAAACATGTCCGCAGTTCTTACAACATGCATCGTCTGCTATATGGCGTCGGACTCTTTTGACATTTGTAAGTAGGCTTCGCGAGCCACTAGCCATAGGAACGTATTTATTCACTGCACTCCTCTATATTTGTTGATAATCTTTCAAATTTATTCTGTTTATTCTGCGGATTGTGGCGTTCGTGCTTCGTATGTTGTTGTTGAGAATTTTGTTGGAAATATTGACTACAAAATCACACTGTTAGTATTCACTTGAAAAATAAACAAAAATAAATAATTTGATCATCTGAAACCGTGTTGTGGTTAAAACACTACCTTAGAAACAAATTCGCCCCGACGTATAATCTCTCCAATAGGCATATCGTCCCCGTGGTCGCTCCAAATATTGTACATCCGGAACTAGAGTGGACTGCTCCTTGCCGAAAAGAATTAGAAAGCTTTGAGAGAGTTTAGAGTTGTTTGAGTGAATTGGGTCAATTGAGAAGCTTATGAAGCTCTCCATTTATAGGCTTCACATCAGGGCAAAAATGGTCCAACATGTATCAGATTTATTTCTAATTTAATTGTTTAATTTAAACTCTGTTGTAAAAACTGAATTAAGTAAACGAACCTGGCCTAAAAATAGTCCAGATTCTTAGTTTAATTTCTAGTCGTTTGTAACTCCAGATACATGCAACATTACACATGTTTAATTTCAGAATTTAACTGTTCCGCTGTTATTCTCTGAAAATATAAAATGAGCAGCCTATAAATATCAGAATACTATTCTTTCACAAATCTTTTTATGCTCAAAAAATTCCTTATGAATTTTCACTAGAACGATAGCAACCACGCGGATGCGTTTAAGACACGTATTACTACATTCCACGAGCTCGACCTCGAGCTCAAGCACGAGCACGAGCCAAGCCAAG